AGGGACAGTTATGACTTGCTGGAAAGGAAAAAAAAAAGGGAAAATTGGAAAGAGAGAGAAAGAGAAACACGGTCGGACGGACGCTGCGACGCGTAAATGAGAAATGATATATTTTAAAATATTTAAATGTGAAATTTTATTTTTTTCCCGTTTGTTTGTTTCGTTTGTTGTTGTTTTGTAAAATTGTTGGGCTCTTTTTATTAACCAGAGCGTGACCGTTAAGGAACCGAAAAAATTACATTTCCCGAAAATAAGAATCACGACTTTTGAGGTTTTGTCGTTGTTGTCGATGCTCTCCATACCTGTAAACGAAATCGAGATTTGCCTTGGCCATGCGAAAGTATTTTTAACGTTTATGGCAAAGTCAATAAATAAAACGTGTTTGTTTTGTGTTTGTTTGCTTGTTCGTTTGTCGTGTTAAAAGAATTAATTGAGAGTGGTCAGTCGGTTCCATACCATCGAGTATAACGGTAAGAGTAGTAAGTGAGTGATATTGGTCAGTGGATTTTTCAACAAATTTGTGTTTATTTTTTACGAATCGAATTTTCTTAAAAAATTAAAAAGGGGGAGAGGGGGGGTCGTTATTGACCTACCGCAAAAAAAAAACAAAATTTTGTTTGTTCGTTTACGGCGATTGATTTTCAGTTGTTGTTTTTGTAGGTTGAGTTTTATTATCGATTAAGTGGAATAAATTTCTTCGTATTAGAAATCTATTAAAACGAGGTTTGTTGTTTGTTCGCCCACAATCGCGGATCAAGTTTTTTTTTTTTTTTTTGGGTGTACCGGGGCGTTTTTCGCGTTTTTTTTCTATTTTTTGCAACGACAACAATAATAATATTTCGATTGTGTGTCCAGTTGATTCGATGACGTCAAAAATGATTTTTTTTTTTTTTTTTTACGAGTTTTTAATCGAGCGATTTGTTTTTTTAATAATAATAATAATAATAATAATGGCGGTCGGTTAAATTGTTTGTTCTTGCACTTTGTTTCCCCTCCCGCTACTCTACTTTTTCGCCTCTCGTCTCAATGAAAATTATTTCAATCGTTCGTGTGATAAAAAAATTTAAGTCGTAATAATGACTTTTTTTTTTCGATCGATCGATCGATGCATGCAAAAGAAAAAATTGAATAATATAATAAAATTTAATAATAATAATAATAATAATAATAATAATAATAATAATAATAATATTTTTTGAGGGGCTTTCCTCCTTCTCCTCTTCTTCTTCTTCTTTCCTACTTACTGGAAAAAATTGAAGGAGCAAAAAAAAAATGGGGGGGGGAGGAGAAAAATTATTATCGATGATAAATTAAGTGAACACGCAAAATTTAGTTTTATCGTTTCCTATCTCTCTCTCTCTCTTTCTTCCTCTTTCTATCTCTCTCTATCTTTCTTTTCGTTTCCATTAAAAAAATAAATTAATACGAATTTTATTTCGTACGGTTATCATTATTATTATTATTATTATTATTATTATTATTATTATTAAAAATTGGTTTTTCTTATATTCTGCGATCATATAGATTAAAATCCGCCGACATTTTTCTTTTTATTTTTTTTTTGAATTTTCATTAAAGTTAATAAGTTTTTTTTTTTTTTTTTTTTTTTTTTTTTTTTTTTTGAAAACGTAAGAGGATGATGATGATGATGATGATGAATTGATTGAAAATAAATAAAAATAATAATGATGATGAATTGATTGAAAATAAATAAAAATAATAATGATGATGATGATTTCGCGGGTTTTTTCGAAAAAAATAAATAAATACAAACCGAAAGTTGTTTTTGTTTTTTCTCTCTCCCCCATCCCGTTCGTAAATACGTTATGTTTTGTTAATGTTTCGTACGTGTAATTAATTATAACGAATCGAAAAAGTTCGGGGGGAGGGAGGGGAAGGGAAGGAGAAGGGGAAGGAGAGTGGAACAATGAGGGGAGGAGGCGTCCAAATCCATTTTCGAAAAAAACAAATTAGGAAAAGTGAATGTTTTTCTTTTCTCTCTCTCTCTCTCTCACTCTTTAAATAATGCTTTTCCGTCATAAATGAAAATAAAATAAACAATAACGAGAGAAAGAGAGAGAGTATGTGTGTGTGAGTGGGTGACAGAGAGTGAGAGAGAGAGAGAGAGAGAGAGAGATATCGATTTTCGTTTGAATTTACGAAGCGGAAATGAGGTTTAATATATTCAAATTTGTTGTTGTTTGTGCCATTGAAAAAAAAAAAAAAAAAAAAAAACGCTCACACGTTTACGTCGGCATCATCGTTTGTGTTTGTGTTTGTTTTTTTTTTTTATAACGAAAATGGAGTGCATCCGAGCGAGAATAAAACGACATTATTATTATTATTATTATCATTATTATTTAAAAGAATTCTTTGAAAGATAAGGTTAAATCGTTTGAAATTTTTGCAAACGGCAAAAAAAAAAAAATAAATGAGAGAAAGAGAGAGAGAAAGGAGAAAATTGAGTGAAAGTGATAAAGAGTGAGAGAGGGGAGTGAGGGGAAGATGAGAGAGAGAGGAAGACCGCGAATGTTTTTTTTTTTTTTTTCGATAATATTTTATAAATAATAATAATAATAATAGAAAGAAAAATCAAGTTGGAAACGTAGCAGTCGAAAGTCGAAAGACTATTTAAAACGTGCCAAGAATGAATTCTGTCAACTCCGCGTATGAGTTTTTCTGACAGGATTAACACATTTTTTTTTTTTTTTGCGAAATTTATGATCGGATTATTTTCAAACTTATCATGCACGACAGCAGCAGTAATAACAATAACAATAATAACAACAACAACAGCGGCAACGGCAGCATTCGAATCCGCAGAAAAAATAACGCTATTTTTGTTTTTTTTTTTTTTTTTTGTTAATACAATTTTAAAATTTGAATTTTTTCTGATTTTCTTCATCTTCTTCTTTTTCTTCTTCTTCATCTTCTTCTTCTTCTTATTCTTTTCCTCATTTTATCGTGATTGATGATAACGAGTATACGTCGAACGATTCGTTAATAATTACGACGATAATGATGATGATGATAATACATTTTTTTTTTTAATGGTTGAATGTAATTGTTGGTACTCTCTCGCGGCGAAAAAGTCATAGATTAAATAAAAAAAAAAAAAAAACATAATGGTTCGATTATCAACGTAACGGTAATTCGAATTAACGCGAAAACTAATAAAATTCGTAATAATAATAATAATAATAATAATAATAATAATAATAATAATAATAGAAATAAAAAAAAAAATAATAATAATATTAATAATAATGATAATGATAATCGTAAAAGTAATGATAATTTATTACGAAACCGAAAATCGTTTCCGAACTCACGATCGCCGCAATCATTATTATTTTTAATTTTTATTTTTTGGCGGAAGGGTGAGGGGACCAGGGGGCAGGGCACGGCTGGGAGGGGTAGGGATCGTTTAAACCTTAAAATAATTTTCAAGGAACGACAGAATTAATAAAAATGAAAAAAAAAAAATTGTTTGAATAAACCTTAAGAATGATAAGAGATTTTAACGACAACACCTGAGTTTTCAACGACGCGGATTTAATTAATTTAATTATAAATAAAATAATATCGAGTTAATTAAAATAATTATTTATGTATTTACGAAAAATAAATAAATAAATAAAAGTCGAAGGAAATTATAAACGATAATAATAATGATAATAATAATAATAAATAAGAGTGATGAAAAAAAAATAAAAAATAACGAAGTCGTAATCTAACCTTATTTTATTAATTATGTAAAAGTGTTTTCTTTTACCTTCCCTCTCTCTCTCTCTCTCTCTCTCTTTCTCTCTGTTTTTCTTTTTAAAAAGTGAGGGAAAAATGATGAAGGAAACAGGGAAATTATTTCCCTGACGATGAAATTTATATATATGAAAAATTTAACTTCCACAAGTTGTTTTTCGTATAAAATAAATTATTTTGAGATTTTCACACGACGACAGATTTCCTGCCGTGAGGGATGAGGAGTAGGAGGGGGGGGTCGTCGTCGTCGATCGAGCTAATGTTATTTCCGGTTTCATTTTCCATTTTGTCTCTACCGATGAATTTATTATGTTTAAAAAAAAAAAAGAGAGTGAGAAAGAGAGAAAAATGCGAATTAATATATATAAATAAATGGATGCGGACGTATATAATATCGAATTAATTTTTCGTAATATCGGAATTCGATATTATAACTCGATTCGGTCTGGAATCGATGGAAGATTTTTGGAATGTTAATTGCTTTTTTTTTCCTCCAATTTTTTTTTGTTAAAAGGAAACAATAAAAGGGGAGGGAAAGGGGAGAAGGGGAGGAGGGAAATTGAATGGATAAAAAATGAGAGAAAGGAAAAAAGAAAGAAAGAAAAAAAGAAAGGAAAAAGATTTTTTAATTTTTTGTTTTTTGTAGAAAGGGTTGCCAACTTAAAAAAATTTAAAAAAAAATTATTATTATTATTCTTCTTCTTATTATTATTATTATTAATTCTCTTTTCTTTTCTTTTTATTTGTTGAAAATGCAAATCGTCGTCCGATATAAATTATAAAATGAGAAAAAAAAATTTTTTTTTTTTATTCCATAGCGAACAATTCCATCGCGCGACAAACGACAACAAACAATTTGTGATTTTAATTTTTTTAATTTTTCTTTTTTTTTTTTTTCCCAGGGAAAACGATGATGAAAGAAAAAGGAAAACGTGGAAATGATTACTTTCGGTGAATAAATTTTAAAAGAAAAAAAAAAGAAAAGTTTTTCTGTAAAATGTAATCGATATTTGAAATCGTATCGTTTGTATCGTCGCCATTATTAATTTTTTTTTTTTTCCATTTTTTTTTTTTTTTTGCGTGCGTGCTTTCGCCCGTGCGAGTGTTAATAATTAAAAATTACGTTGTTGATTGAAGAGAGAGAGAGAGGGAAGAAGAAGAAAACGACACGGAAGAAGAGAGAGAGAAAAGAGAAAAAAACAAAAACAAAACAAAAACAATAAACATGTTAGAGAAACATGTATAAGCCAATGCGACGTAGAAGTGCACGAGTCATTGTCGTGTCCGTCATATTTCTCACAGTGTTAGCATGCATATATTACACGAATTACACGAACACGGTGGGACCGACACAATCGTCTTCTGCTACGAACGCAGGTGCCGGAAGTGGTGGGGGAAACGGAGGAGTGGGTTCGGACGAAAATTTAAATTTGAAATTGTCGAGGAGCAAAAATCATAATAACGGATTAAGGGAAGCACTTTTCAGATCATTCAGAAGTGGAGATTACGCGGAAGATGATTCTTCGACGGATACGAATAATTATTGTCCGAAATTGGATTCGGCAAAAGCAAACGTCGACACGGTCGAAACGTTTAAAACGTTCGAATTCCAGGTACGTACGTGCGTTCGTTCGTACGAACGTTTTTTTTATTATTATTATTAATACGAGACTCGGCCGCCGGGTCAATTTCATTTGAATAATTCGGCAATAACATTAAATTATTTTTAGATTCTTTTTTTTTTTTTTTTTAACAAATATGGCGGCGTCAGACTTGAATATTAAGTCGCGAAGGGAAAATTTTTTTTTGTTCTCCCACTCTCGAATCTCCGGAAGAGATTTTTTTTTTTTTATGGTTGGCAGTCACGGTAGGGTTAATTTTTTGCATTTACTTTGAATCAATCGGAATTTGTACATTTATTTGCTATGTAAACGATCACATTAATGCTTGAAATTTTCCTTATTTTTTTTTTTTTTTTCTGTTTTTGTTTTCTTGTACGCGAGGAGGAAAAGGAGGGGAAGGAGGAGAAAGAAACGTTTATTTTTTACGATCTACCTTTTTAATGTTTCGGTTCGAAAGCGGAAGAAAGGAAGGAGGGGGGGTGGAGAAAACCTTTTCGAAAAGGTGGAATATAAAAGGTAAAGAAAGGAAAGAAGGAAGGGAAAACAAATATTATTATTATTATTTCGCGTATTTTTTTTTTTACATGTTTAACCGTGGAAATACAGCCGCGAATTCTTTTGTTTGAATTTTTAACCCGAAGCTAAAAGGGAGCGGAAGGGGGAGGGAAGGGGAGGGCAGAAAAGATTGAAAATGATTTTCAGAAAATATATATTATGGAGAAAACGTTTGTGTGCGTGTGTAGAAAGCAAAGAAGAATGGAAAGTATTGAGAAGGATGTGAAAATGGTGTCGAATCGAAAAATAAACTAAAAAATTAAAATTTTAGTATAAATATTTAAGCAGACGACAAAAATCACGGCCTTCCTTAACTTAACTTACTTTCTCTTAAGAGAGTTTTTTTTTTTTTTAAACTAGTTTTTTTTTTTTTTTCGTTTTACTTTCGTGTTGTCCAGTTTTTATCTGGAACGTGTAACGGTCAACAAAAAAAAAAAAAACTGGAAAAAAAAATTTAAATAAAAATATCTTTGTTGTTGTTGTTGTTGGCGGCGGAGGCGGCCTTCTCCAAAAAGAAAGGATAAGAAAAAATTCCCATGAGTAAAATAAATGTTTTTTTTCGAACAAACAAAAAAAAAAGTTTGTCTCGTTAAAAAAAAAGATTTGTTTGTTTGTTTGTTTGTAATCTAAAAAGTTTTTTTTTATTTTTTTTTTTTTTTTGCATAGCCTTACTGGATGAAAAGCAAAGAATATTGGGATGGTTATTTCGAAGAAAGATACAAAGAAACGAAAGAAAAATGGTCCAGTTTACCGTTGAAGGTAAGTTTGTAAACAAAAAAAATTTTTTTTTTTTTCCATAAGGACGACTGCGACGACAATGACCATGTTATGGGTGGGGCAGGAGGGCGTGTGCGTGCGTGCGTGCGTGAGAAAGTTTTAGAAAAAAAAAAAAAAAATTGACGCGGTTTTTATTATTATTATTAATCGATTTTATTATCATTATTATTATCGATTCGTTAAGTTTACAAAAAACAAACAATTTTCTGCCATTTTGTTTTTTTTTTTTTTCTTCTTAATGTTAAATATAAACGTCGAAAATTGTTGTGCCATAACCGGAAGTGTTTGTCGTTGTTGTCGCAGTTGTTACTACTCTTTTTCTCCATTTTTTGAAATCGTTAAGCACGCATGGAAAATTATTTAGAAAGTAAATCTTTAATTGTTATTACTCTCTCTCGCTCTCTCTCTCTCTCTCTCTGTCTCACGCCGTGACTGCACGGGATATTATTTTTCCAGTAAATTTAACTCGTGTTAAAAAACAAAAAAAAACTTGTTTGCATGATCAACAAAGAGAGAAGAGAAAAAAAAAGTTTTCACCGCGGTCAGTTTCGCATCGTTGTTTAAGATTTAAAGTGGAAAATTTTTCATTCCGGAAAATTTGGATTTTTCTAGAAATTTCAAAGTCTCATCATGTTTTATTAAAAGAACGATTTAAACAAACTAGACAAAAAAAAAAAATTAATGGTGGGGGGGGACTTTTAAATAATTTTCATCAAGGACGTTATAAATCGATTGACGTTTGAGGAAAAAACGATAAACAAGCGGAGAGAGAGAGAGAGAGAGAGAGAGAGAGAGAGAGAGAGAGAGATGACGGTTGACCTCGAAATTCGAGAGAAAAACGTTTAAATAATTTGTTGTAATATTACGTCGTCGTTTGTTTGTTTGTTTGTTGAGCGGTTGTTGTTTGTTTGTTTGTACGTTAAACGTTGATCGGTCGAAGTAACATTAAAAAAAAAAAAAAATTACCTACTCGGTTTCGTAGAATTAAAAATATGATTTTTTTTCACACTTGGGGAAATATTTCGTTTTCATTAAGAGAGAAAAGAGAGAGAAAAAGGTTTTTAGGAAAATATCGATCGATTAATCGATTTTGATAAAATCGGATTATCGAAATGAACCTCACGGACCTAAAAGTTATTTCTATTTTTCTTTTTTTTTCCCCTCCCTTTTTTTCTCTTTCTCTTTTTCTATCTCTCTCTTTCTCTTTCTCTCTCTCTTTCGTTTTTTTATCTTCTCTTCCTTTCATTTATTGGTTCACGGGATCAACCGGAAACTGAAAAGTTGAAAAGTTTTTAACTTTTTTTTTTTTATTTAAAAAAAATCACCATCATCATCATCATCTCTTGCAATTAAAATGAAAATTACTTTTTCCAATTTTTTTTTTTTTTTTTTTTTTTTTTTTTTGCCTTCGTTTCAATCCGTAATATCGGTTTACGGGAGGGAGGAGGAAGAGAGAGAGGGAGAAAAAAATTTTTTAAGGAGGATGAGTTTTTTTTTTTAATGTCGGAAAAAGGAAACCGGTTGAAAAAGGAGGTTCATTTAACCGAGCTCCCGAGGTTATACACGCGAATGAATAAATGTGTGCGTGTGCGTGTGTGTGCGTGCGTGCGTACGGGAAAGCGTAGTGGAAAAGGCATCGATATAAAATTCGAAAAAAAAAAAAAATTAAAAATTAATTAAAAGAAAAGAAGAGAAAGGGAGAGAGAGAAAAGAGGAGGGGGAAAAGAGTTGATTGTGAAAATTTACCGTTGAGAAAAATGAACGTCAGAAATATAAAAGAAAAGGATAGAAAAGGGAGTGAGGGAAGGGTAGGAGAAGGTAAAGGGAAGAGTATAAGAATTGACGATGAAGGAAGAGAAAAGGGATAAAGGGGATTTTCGTAGTACGTATAATAATAATAATAATAATAATAATAATAATAATAAACTAGGGCGGAAGTCACGCGGAAAATTTTTGCGGAAAGTACATATTTATAATTCGTATTAATGAGTAATAAAGAGAAATTTTTAATTTAATGAGAGAGCGAAAGGAGAGGGGAAGGGGGAAGATCGAGGAAGAGGAGAAGGGGAGAAAAAGGGTTTTCCGGTTTTGACTGTTTCCGTTTTTATTGTTGTTCGCAATTTGGAATCATCGTTATGATTCAAGTAAGGATGAAAACCGTTTAAAAAAAGGAAGAAATATAATAAGAAAATCGTATCGTTCGAACGCTTTTCCGGTAAAATTTCCCGTTCGCATCCCTCTTCCTTTTTATTTTTCTTGTAAATTAATTTTTAAATGAAACGTTAAGAAAAACAGACAGAAAAAAAGCAGAAGAAATAAATAAGTAAATAAAGAAGGAAGGTGAAATGAGGTGAGGAAAAGGAGGAGGAGGAAAACGTTTTAATTGATGAACGGAATTTTAGTATAACCGAAATACTACTATTATTTACCACACACAACAACCCCATTAGTTTTAAAAACAAAAACAGACAGGAGAAGGAAAGAAGGAAAAGGAAGAACATGATAGAACAGGAAGAGAGAAAAAGGGAGGGACGGGATAGGTTGAGACGTTGAAAAATCATTAAACATAAGAAAAACAAGTAAGGAGGAGGAGAGAGAAAGAGAGAGAGAGCCTTAAGAAAGTAGAAAATGGGAAAAGGAAAGTGAAAAAGAGAGAATGATTTATAGACTGACGGACAATAAAAACCGTTCGAAGGAAAAAAAGAAAAATATATATATATAAAGAGAGAGAGAGAGAGAGATAGATAGACGACTTGATTTTCTGTTAAACATTGTGTGATAAATGAAAGGAGAGTTTTGTTGTTGTTGTTGTTGCTGTTGCTGTTGCTGCTGTTGTTGCTGACGATGTCGTTGTTTGATATGAGTATAAAATGTTTAACTATCCATTTTTGATTTTTGGGAATGAGAAATCAATAAAATCTGACACAAAATGAAATTGACTGACTGACTGACTGATTGATTGACTGACTGATTGACCTTTCCGCTGTTGAATTTTTCCCCAAAGGCTCACACGAACGAATTTCATTTAAATTTTTTTTTTTTTTTTCGAAATTGGGGGGAAAGTGGTTTAATAAGAGAAAAATTGGAAAATTAAAGAAGAGAGAAGGGAGGGAATAGAGAGAGATGAGAGGAGGGTAAAGATAGGAGAGAGAGAGAGAAAGACAGAAACCAATATTAAAAAAAAACGCGCGAAAGGAAAAATGTTTAAAATTTTCCAGAACGTTTGGGGCATCTGGAAAAACGGAAATTTAGAATAATAATAATAATAATAAAAAAACGGAAGTACAAGAAGTTTCGATATACGCGTTGGAAAAAGGAAAAGAAAAAGAAGGGGGGAAAAAAATGGCGATAAATTAATTATTACCTTCGATCGATGACGACGGCATGGAAATTAATTTTTTATTTTTATTTTTCTCACTCTCTCTTCCTCTCTCTCTTTCTCTCTCTCTTTCTCTCTCTCTCTCTCTCTCTCATTTTTTAAAATTTGATTTTACAACGTTGTAATTGTATATAGTTGGAAGCCAAAAAAAAAAAAAAAAAATGTACGAAAAGGGACACTTTTCACTTGCCAAAAAATCAAAGGGGAAAAATATTAAATTTTCTTTTTAAAAATAATTGGTTCCAATAAATTTTTACACGTTTGGTGTGTGTGTAGGAAAAAAAATGAGTGGAGGGGGGATGGTGGTGGTGGTGGTGTCGGTGTTAGTCAGATTGTAATAAAACCTGCAGTAAAGAAAAAGGTGGAAAAAGGAAAAACGATTGTATAAATCACTTTTGAAATTATTATTTGGCAAATTTTCCGTGGAAAAAAAAAAAAAAAATTTTTTTCACACCGATCGGCAATCACATTAATTTCCTCCGATATGATTTTTTTCTTTTTCTCCCTTTCCCTCCCCACTCACCTCCCCCCACTGCCCCCGCTCTCTCTCTCTCTCTCTTTTCGCCAAACACTACGAAACGATTCCAATTGATACGATGAATAATGATGGTTCGTTGACCTTTGACTCACGCCGATAATTATTTAGTGATATGGCATTCGTCCAGGTATACGCGAATGTCTACTTCTCCCCTCCCCTTCCCTCTCCTTTTCTTTCCAAAGCGTAATATTATAAAGGAGTAAAAAAGAAAAAAAAATTAATAAGAGAGAGAGAGAAATAAAAGATGGAAAAAGAAAGAAAGAAAATGTTTTCGGTTGTCGGAAGGAAAAAATTGTCGTTGGTACGGAAAAAAAAAAAATTCGAAAACTCTGATGAAAAGGTTAACAAGAAAGGAAACGAACGAACGAATGAATCGAAAGAGAGAAAGAAAGAAAGGAAGGAAAAGGAAATGGAAAGGAAAAAAGAGGAAAAGAAAGAGTTATAAAATGGCGTGTGAAATTTATTGTTTTTCGAAAATTAATCCCTTCGTTTACAAACAGTAATTAATCTCATTCAAATAGAAAATCTGTTTTTAAATATAAATTAAAATTTATTGCCATTTTTTTTCCTTTTTTTGTTTCCTTTTTTGTTTTTTTTTTTCCTTTGTTTTTCATTTTTTTATTTTAATTTTTATTGATGTCGTATTCAAATTCAAATTAAAAAAAAAAAAAAAAAAATTGGAAAAAAAAACAAAATAATTTGCTATCGGAAATAAAAGGAACGAAAAAAAAGGAAAAAAAGGAAACAAAAAAATGGGTGGGAATTTTATTATTATTATTATTTTTATTATTCCGTAGTTTTATTATTATTATTATTAGCTATACTATTTGTATAATAACATTCATTGGTTATTGTTTTATGTGTGTTTCCTTTGTGAAAAAAGTTTTTTTTTTTTTTTTTTTTTTTTTTTTTTAATTTGTCTTGTTTGTTGTTGTTGTTGTTGTTATTTGGTTTTTACGGTGGTTTTTCTCATTGTTTTCCTCGTCGGTTTTTTTTTTTTGTTTGTTTTGTTTGTTGTTCTTGTTTCCCCCCCTTCCATTTTTCCTTTTGTGTGTTTTTTTTCCT